CTATCAGAGTGTTTCTGTCCTTGATTCACAGTCATGTCATTAAACTGAAAACTCTTTTGCGGCATGAGAAGCAGGAATAGAAAATGTGAAGGAGACCAAGTTCTTGATTTGACTGCCATACCATTTGGCATTTGTCTGAAAGCCTCCACCTTGCTCTGATCTATGTACTGCTCTTGGAGACAAACTTTTTCCTTATTTGTTATAAAACTCAATTGTCACTATACAACTTTGTCAGTGACAATCTCTCTATGGACATTTGTAATCTATGATGTATTGTTTTTATGTAGATTGTTATCTACTCTGAGCATTTACAGGTAGATTATGAACTAAAGTTGTTATTGTTACTAACATTATTGGCTGTGTGGATGATTTGCAGCATTTCTATACTCTCCTTTCTCTGTTCCAATGGGGGGGAAATGCAGAAACAGCGATTCTGACAACAACTCTTTGGTAATAGTGACACAGGTGAAAGGTCTCAAGAAAAGCAAACAAACACAAAAATCTCCAGCATGCTCAAGCATGGAAACAGAATGACAGCTTGTGCTTTGCATCCTTCCATCACCAAGCAGTCTAATTTTTGAGATGTCATGCATTTCCATGGCTAGCTGAACATTTTACTTCACAAGCTGGCAAAAAACTGGTCAATAAAGAAGAGTGTGACCTGGCTATTTTCAGACTGACCCTGAGCTGACAAGGCCTGGAATGAAGGAGTGATTTTTTTAGCCAGTGAACATGGAATGACTGATTGCAAGTGTGCGGAGTGTTTATGATTAATCCTATTAAAGGCAGAGCTAGTGACAGCCTTAGACTGCAGACATCTCCATGCTCTCAAGAAGTATCTCAAAGGCAACATCACAGCAGCCCTTTAAAACTTTCTATACTGGTAAATAAACCAGCAATATATTTATTTTTTCATGCAGATTTTGCTCCATATATGCATTATAACAAGCCCCTTTCCCTCATATAACATTTTAGTATACTTTTAAAATTAAGATGTGTGCCTTTTGTAAACATTGTCTTTTATTGAATGCATTTTGTACAATTTTTTTAAAAAAAACTTTATCATAACATTTTGAGATGTATATATTTAATGACTATGTGTCAGTTTGTCTAGTGATTCAAAATATGAGTTGGTTAAGTTTTTCTCAAAATACCAACCCAACAAATTCCTTTCATTACCCTAGATCCTCTTCTGTTAATAAATCAAGCCCCTAGATCCTCTTCTGTTAGTAACTCACTCACTCTCTTTACCTATTTTGCAGTTCTCTGAGGCCAAATGTAATTTAATATTGCAGTTGTGTATGACTGTGTGTGTGTGCGCGCGCACGTGCGTGTGTAATATAATTTAGAAAACATTCAGCAGTGGCTCCTTTTGTGCAGTACTAACTTAAGTGACACTGCCCTTGTCTCTAAGAAATCCTTTGCCAGTGTCACTTCCCTACAGTGCACACACAAACACATACACACTACTGCTGCTGAGTAGTAGCTATTTGGCACATTTGGCTCCTCCAGATGACTGTCTGGCATGGGAGATCCTACCAGCAGCAATGTTACCACTGGCATATCTTTTTGCCTCATGAGGTGTGGAATTCCCACCACCATGGAAAAGTAATGCCAAGGCAGGATATTTTAGCACCAATACAACAAATTATATATTCAATTTAAAAGTTAATACACTGTCTCAAAAGTTCCATAAATCCAATGAAGTTCTAGTGCAAGACTTGTCTGCAGAATCCTTCTGCTTGTGCTCCTCAATAGTTTGCAAAATTTGGATAGAAGCTTAAAGCTCTAAATAAAAAAATGCAAAGTAGATGTAAATACAATATGGAAATTTCACTACAAAGAATTTACTTTTTCATTCCTTCTGAAATATGTAAATGAAATTCCACTTATTCAAGGTGAAAAGAGCCTGCTTCTTAGCCTTGACATCTGCATTTCCCTGACTTTCTTTTAGAGGAGGCTAGGGTGACCCCTCACTGCTCCCCTTCTGTCAGCAGGCAAAGACTTTGCTTCACTTTAATATGATATCTTATTCCATAGTTTTGAAATTGTTTGTCAACATTATACTTGGTTAGGTTTTAGATGAATTTTGTTTTAACTCAGGTCATAAGGCATTGTAAGAAAGACAGTATATAAAATAATTAATGAGCTAAGCAAACTCATCCATATTGACTCAGAAATATTTTCCATGGAATACAAGGTGGTTTGCTCCCAAGTTGTTGGTTTTAACTACACTTGAGTCGACTTTGACTCATGGTGACCCGGCAGATGAGACATCTCCAGGACCCCCATTCCTCAACCTCTCTGCTCTTGTCCTACTGAGGCCAATAAAACACATTTTTTTGGAATTCTCTGGTGCACTCCATTATCCATTGCAATGTAATCCCTAGTGCCTCTTCCTTTCCTGAATCCAGCTTGCAACTCTGGGATTTTTCGCTCCATGTATGGTAGGAGTCTTTGCTGCAGAATTCTGAGCATGACTTTGCTTGCATGGAAAATTAGTGCAATGGTTCTTTTGTGTCTCCTTTTTTATGTGTAGGAGTGTGTATTGATCACCACCAGTCTTTGGGCCACTGCTTTGTTTTCCATATTTGTTGGCAAATTTTAGTTAGAACTGAGATTGATACTGCCTCTGTGGCTTCTAACAGTTCTATTGTTGTATCATCTGTTCCTGGTGATTCAGTCTTCCCAATTTTGGTAAGTGTAGCTTTTCAGGTACTGGCCTTCTAACACTAGGTCACACAAGTCTGACTCTGACTACAATAAAGGAGTACTAAAACTTAACTTCATACTGGGCCTAATTGTTCATGTTCAGTGGATTTTTATTTATTTTTGTACCTTCAAGTCACTTCCAATGTATGCCAATCTCAAGGCAAACCTATCATGGGGGTTTCTTGGCAAGAATTGTTCAGAGAGGGCTTACATGTGCCTTCCTCTGAGACTGAGAGATTAAGATTTCCCCAACATCACCCAGTGGGTTCCCACAACCAAGCAAGGATTCAAACCTTGTTCTTCAGACCACTACAAGTCCAAACCACTACTCCATGCTAAAAATAGTTTTTTCTTTTATTTTATTTATTTTCTATTCTTTCTTTCTTTCTTTCTTTCTTTCTTTCTTTCTTTCTTTCTTTCTTTCTTTCTTTCTTTCTTTTTGTCCTAATAGTTTTGAAACATTTCAGTACTTTCCCAAAGTCCAGATTTAATCATTTATCCTTCTAAATACTAAAGAGAGCTTGATAAGGGCCTCAGTGGGGCTGGATAAAATCAAAGCTGCAACCTAAGTGACTACATTAGCTGTGAATGCAGATACTTCTGTGAGATATTGATGTTGTTATGTGGCTTGAGGTTGACTTTGACTGATGGCAACCTTATCATAGGGTTTTCCTAGTCATATTTATTCAGATATGGTTTTCCATTGCCTTCGTCTAATGTTAAGATTATGTTGCATGACATTGTTACCCAGCTCATTTTCATGGATGATAGAGATTTGAACTCTGGTCTTATGGAGTCCAACACTCAGGCCAGTACAGT